GCCACCGTGGCTCATTGAGCAAAGGAATGGTTTATTTCCTTTATAATGGGAACCGTCTTTTTTTTCAAAAATCAAACTCGGCAAGAGCTTCAGGCCAGATGGTTTACAAGGGGTGCAGCAGGATCTCGTCACAAAACCCATGTGCCAAACCGCAAAAGGGGGCAACGAAGACCATGTGTCTCTTCCACTAAAGGAGAAAATTTGTAGCTCAGGGTTGAAACGAGGGGCTCCTTGGCGCTACAAATAGATTGGCGGTCTCTGCTTCCTCCCTTGGTAAGAATCTGCACTGCCGTGCTACCTTACACAGGTAGTCCTCGACTTACAACAGTTCATTTAGTGACCGGTCAAAGGTTCAACAACGGCACTGGAAAAAGTGACCTAGGACAGCTTTTCACTGCTTCCAACTGTTGCTGCAACCCCACAGTCTGTTGATCAAACTTCAGACGATTCGTACTTATGACGATTTGCAGCGTCCCGGGGTCACACGATCCCCTTTTTGCGACCTTCTGGTATGAGCCAAGTCCAGGGGAAGCTGGATTCGCTTTAAGAACCGTGCGACTAACTTACCGTATTTTTCGGAGTATAAGACGCACCTTTTCCCCTCCTAAAAGGGGGTGAAAATTTGGGTGCATCTTATACACTGAATGTAGCCCCGCCCACACACTGGCCCCCACCCACTGGCCTCTGCCTCCCAGCAATTTACCTCCTTGCAGCAAGCAGCAAGAAGAAACAGCCCATTTCAGTTTCAGCACAGCCTGATTAGCACAAACAGCTGATTGTCGGTTGGATCGGCCTCCCGACGCTCAGCTGTTTCAGGCTGCAGGGATTGCCATTGCCTATTGCTGTGCGCGGGCCTCTGCTGTTTGCTGCAAGGAGGCAAAATTGCTGGGAGGCAGATTTTTTTTTTTCTTTCTTGGGCTAATCAAGCTATGCTGAAAACAAAAATGAAAGTAAAGCAGGCTATTTGCTGTTTGCTGCAAGGAGGCAAAATTGCTGGGAGGCAGAGGCAGATTTCTTTTTCTTCTTTTTCTCATCAAATAGTCCAAAAAAATACGGTAAGCACGGTGGCAAAGAAGGGTCGTAAAACAGGGCAAAATTCCCTTAGCAAGTGTTTTGTTCGGCAGCAGAAAAGTGGGGCAGTCGTAAGTCAAGAACTACCTGCATTCCTCATCTTGCCTCTCGCGCCTCTGCTTACTTTCCCGGCTCGGAATCCAACTCGCATGTTTGAAAAGAACAAGAGCTGCTGGAGGGAAAAACTAACCCAGCCTGCCTTCTCCTCTTCTCTAAAAAGGTTTTGCTTTCCCGAGCATCCTACTAATTTTATGGAATTGGGTGGTGGGAGATTATTTGGTATAAAATGTATAGGTGGTGGTCGATTATTTCCTATATAACCTCTTGGGTTTGGGCTTCGATAGATGACAAGGCTGTTTGCTTGAGGCTGCCGGAGTAGCTTGTAGCTTTTTCTTGAAGGAATTCCAAAAGCCGCTCGTGTCGCTAGTCCTCAAGAGGGCACTATTCCGATGCAATCCGAGCCTCTCCATGAAGGAGAATTCATCTGATGGGAAGCAAAGCCAGTGGCCTTTAACATATATACCGTGTTTCCCCGAAAATAAGACCCTGTCTTATATTTTTTTTGAACCCCAAAATAAGTGCTTGGCCTTATTTTCGGGGAGGTCTTATTATTTGGGGGCACGTGGAGTAACCAGAGGAAATGGCGGGGATCGGCTGCGCACGCGTTTAAATATTTTCGGGGAGGGCTTATGTTCAGGGGGTGGGCTTCTTTTTAGCGCATGCTGTCAAAAGCCCGATTGGGCTTATTATCAGGGGATGTCTTATTTTCGGGGAAACGGGGTATTTTGTTTCAGCCTTCGACTTGTCGTTTTGAATCACGTTAAAAAAACAACAACTTTGGGTTTGAGGAAAAGGCGAAATAATTCTCCTTAAAGGATGCAAGGTGTAAAATGCCTGACACACTCGAGAGTATCCCCAAATATCAGAATATTTCTGACGTTCCTGGAAAGAGATTTCCAAACGAATCTGTCCTTGCGAAATAAGACAGGAAGATCTGCTAGCATTGGCCTTTTTCAGTTATGGCATAAATTTGTTCACAGTCGCTCCGGATCCAAGATTAGCAATTGAACGGGTGGCTCATAATTCGGATTAATTGGGTATTTGTGGCCATGGGAATTACAGACTAACAGAGTTGGAAGGGACCTTGGAGGTCTTCTAGTCCAGCCCCCTGCTTAGGAAGGAAACCTTACACCACTTCAGACAAAAGGTTATCCAACATCTTCTTAAAAACTTCCAGTGTTGGAGCATTCACGACTTCTGGAGGCAAGTGGTTCCACTGATGAATTGTCCTCGCTGTCAGGAAGTTTCTCCTTAATTCCAGGTTAAGTCCAGATTCATTTAACGACCACATGATTCCCAACAACTGCAGTGATTTGCTTAACAACCCTGGCTCCAAAAAACCCCAAAAAAGGTCATTAAATTGGCAGCTGACACGCTTAGCAACAGAAATTCTGGCCCCAATATTGGCCACAAATTGAGGACGGCTTGTAGGTCTTGGAAAAACAGGTTGGTAAAACCTGACCAATTGCTTTCAGCAAACATAAGGTGAATTAAAACGCCAGCTGATATTCCTTTTTTGTCAGCTTTGGAAGCTTCCATGCTGCCATCTTATTGATCTCTTCTTCAATTTCCCAGTAAGATTTTAGCCGGGAGTCGAAATGCAAGGTTTTTTTTTTAAAAGATTGCAGACTTTTGGTACAAATTATGCAGCCCTGATTGCTACGTGAGTCCTTTAGACTCTTAAAACTCTTTTCTTTCATTTCGCTTTCTGAATTTTTCTCCTCGAGTTCTATCGATCTTTGCCGGCTCCTAAACCGTAGCACCTCATTGACGAGGTCTCATGCATTCAAGCATCAAGTTGCCGTAAAAAAAAATTGGAAATGCCTTTTGCCGGAAGAAACACCCCCCCCCAAAAACCTCACACCTTTCATTTCAGGGTTGGATTTGCAAATCGTGGGCCGCGAGGCTTTGAAAAAGCTGATCGGCCTCGTGTGCAAACAGCGTGAAGACGGTTTTGAGAGATGGCTGATCCGGTGTTTTTCACCGGCTGTGATTTGAACGTCTTCAAAGCACCTTTGTGACACCTAAATCCAGGCCCCGTGAATTAAGGTGACTCTTATCTAGCACCAGTTTAGCTTTGACCATTAATCAGCCATATTCTTGTGTATAGGTAGCGATAATGAACAATTCAGTGCTTTAAACTCAACAAATTGCTCCTGGTTGTTTGCACCTGACAACTCAGGTGCTTCAGAGAATAAGTCAAACCGCTCATGTCTGTGACTGCCCCTCAAATACTGGAAGACAACTATCAGGTGAATATATCTGAGAGAGAGAGAGAGAAAGAGAGGGAGAGAGAGTAGATGATATAGATATATATAGAGAGGGGGGGAGGGAGGGAGAGAGATGATAGATGAGATAGATGAGCGAAAGCGAGGGAGAGAGATGATAGATAGATAGATAGAGAGAGAGAGAGATACATGGATGGATGGATGCATAGATACTGTAGATAGATGATAGATAGATAGATAGATAGATAGATAGATAGATAGATAGATAGATAGATAATATAGAGATAGATAGATAGATAGATAGATAGATAGATAGATAGATAGACAGATACATAGATAGATAGACAGATACATAGATAGATGAGAGAGGGAGAGAGAGATGATAGATAAGATAGATAGATAGATAGATAGATGATAGATGAGAGAGAGATGATAGATAATATAGAGATAGATAGATAGATAGATAGATAGATAGATAGATAGATAGATAGATGATAGATAGATAGATAGATAGACACATAGATAGATAGATAGATAGATAGATAGATAGATAGATAGAAACATAGATAGATGAGAGAGAGGGAGAGAGAGATGATAGATAAGATAGATAGATAGATGATAGATAGATAGATAGATAGATAGATAGATAGATAGATAGATAGATAGATGGATGGATGGATGGATGGATGGATGGATAGATAAGATACTGTAGATAGATAACTCTAACTCTGTTGAAGACTTTAGAAATGCTTTGATGAAATGAAAAATGACCTTAAATTGTGAACTACTGAGAGATGCTGGACAAGGAGTCTAAAAATCCAAGTTCTGGTTTTCCGTTGGGCAAGGAAGTCAGCTAGATATCTCAGGACCTGCCGTCCTATCTTGGGAAGCTGAAAAACATCTACCGACCAACTCATGTGGGTGGAGAGCATCCATAATTACCTTCATCTCAGACTTGTTCAAACCCCCCCCCCCATGAATGATTTAAAGTAAAACTTGAGTTGACAGGGCCCTCTTTTCTAAACCAGAGTCCAACCAGAGATGGAGAACCGGCGCCCCCTAGTGGTGCCTAGTGGAAATAACATTAGAATTCTGTGACTCACCAGCTGGTTTTGTCCCACGGAAAGGGGGAACTCAAAAAAAAAAAATGGGGTCCTTTCACACACACAGAGAGAGAGGGTTGGAAGAGTTAAGATGGGAGCCTTCCAACTCAAAAATCAGGTTCTGCTTCCTCCAGATCAATGATGCTCTCTACCCAAACCTGAGGATGTTCCTTCTTGCGCTGACTTGCCTTGTGCATTTTTGCTCTCCTAAGCCAAAATTTGTACTTTCTGTGTGTTTTTCTCCATACCCCTTTCTCCACATTTCTCCAAGGCGTCTTGAGGTTGTATTATGCGTCTTCCATCGGCATCAACGTTCTCGCGAACATTTCCGGCGTTGGTTTTCTGAGGTAGTTGAGAAAGTATCTGACGGGAGGTTTGGAAGTAAAGACGAAGATCTCCTGCCATGGGCTTTGTCTGGTTTTTTTTTTTATCTGCAGCTCCAGGAGGTTTGCCAGATCACCCTGGAGAAATGGCGTTCTTCCTCTTGGCCCTCAACGACTGATGGCCTTCCATGTTTGTTTGTTTTTTCTTCTTTCAGAAACTTCCGGAAACACCTCCGTATGGTAGGGAGCCGCCGCATGAAGGCGCAAAGTAAGTGAGCAAGATTGAGCGGGATTGAGAGGGACTTCTACACCGGGCCACGTTCTCCTGACTCCCAAGATCTCTCCTTCCCACAACCAGGGTTGAACCTTCTGACTCCCAGTGGTCTCAGACAAGCTATCTTAAAGCTTCCCCAAATGATGGGGTGTTTGTGCAAAACATTAGGAATGATCCTGGTTGGGGAAAGGAATTTTTTTTGTGGAGGAAGGAGGAAAAAAAGGAAATGTTTTTGTGGCACCCACTGCGCTTATAGCAAAGATGGCGAGCCAGGGATGGGTGTGATTTTAGCAATATTTTGTCATAATTAGATTCCTTCTCCTCCTCCTCCTCCTTCTCCTTCTCCTCCTTCTCCTCCTTCTCCTTCTCCTTCTCCTCTCCCTCTTCCTCCTCATTGTCTATCTTCTCCTCCTTTTCCTTCTTCTCTTTTCCTAATTGTCTATCTTCTTCTCCTTTCTCCTTTCTCCTCCTCCTTATTGTCTATTTTCTCCTTCTCCTTCCCCTTCTCCTTCTCCTTCTCCTTCTCTTCCTCTCCCTCTTCCTCCTCATTGTCTATCTTCTCCTCCTTTTCCTTCTTCTCTTTTCCTAATTGTCTATCTTCTTCTCCTTTCTCCTTTCTCCTCCTTCTTATTGTCTATTTTCTCCTTCTCCTTCTCCTTCTCCTTCTCCTTCTCCTTCTCCTTCTCCTTCTCTTCCTCTCCCTCTTCCTCCTCATTGTCTATCTTCTCCTCCTTTTCCTTCTTCTCTTTTCCTAATTGTCTATCTTCTTCTCCTTTCTCCTTTCTCCTCCTCCTTATTGTCTATTTTCTCCTTCTCCTTCTCCTTTTCCTAATTGTCTATCTTCTTCTCCTTTCTCCTCCTCCTCCTCCTTATTGTCTATTTTCTCCTCCTCCTTCTCCTTTTCCTAATTGTCTATCTTCTTCTCCTTTCTCCTCCTCCTCCTTATGGTCTATTTTCTCCTTCTCCTTTTTCTTCTTCTCTTTTCCTCATTGTCTATGTTCTCCTCCTCCTCCTCCTCCACCCCTTTTTCCTCCTCCTCCTCTTCCTCTGTTCCTTCCAGCTTTTGCCGAGCGGCGTGAGAGAAGTTTCAGCCGGTCCTGGAGCGATCCAACTCCCATTAAGCCTGAAAACCTCAGTGATTCCCGAGAAAGTACGTTCCTCTTTCCTGAACCTCCCGTTCCACTGGAAATAGGTCAAGGGAGGGTGGGAGGAGAAGACATCAAAATCCCAATCTAAGCAAGCTTGAGCACCGAGGGCAGAGACAGCAAAGATTGTCTTGACTTGGTAGATAAAATCTTGGGGTCCTTGCAAACCTCCCAACTGACTTTTCCAACCTCCTCATCACCAACTGTGTGTAGTCATGGTTGAACAATTGCTGGAGTGCTCCAGATCCTTCCACTCCACCCTTGTTCCTAGCCAGGAGCTACTCAAGAGTCTTGCGGGAAGGATTCAGACAGACTCTGCAATGCAGGGATTTTTGGACATGCCATGGCAGGATCTCCTTGTGCTTCACCTTGGACCCGTTTTGAAAGGAGGACATGGTCCACGTAGGCTCCGTCGTCCTTGGGAGCACATGGGACTTTCTGCATCTGCCGAGATGGACCTCCGAGCTCTTGCTTTCTTTCTCCCGCAGGCCATGAATTTCAGGATTCCTGCTGTGCCATTGACAAAGGGATTGACTTGAACTGGGAGGCGGAGAAAGAACTGGAAGCGGCCGCCTGCAGTGGGGAGGACTTTGTCCCCCCCAAAATCATGGTAGGCAATCGTTGAGAACCTCAAGCAATTTGGGGGCCTACTGGGATGGGGAAAATCGGTCCTTGTCCTGCCCTCCAGCTTTCGTAGTTTTGGAAGGAAAACTCCTGCCACTTACACTTCTCTCTTTGGTCGTCTTTTTTTTCACCCCCTTCCTCCTGCTTCTCTCTCATTCCAGCTCATTTCCTCCAAAGTGCCCAAAGCTGAGTATGTTCCAACAATTATCCGTCGCGATGACCCATCGATCATCCCCATTCTCTACGTAAGTCTTGGACTGGAGCTGTTCTGCCTGCCTGCGTCTCTCCTCCTCCACCTCTTCCTCCTTGTCCACCCATCCATTTATCCCCTGCCTCCTTCCATCCACACCTTCCTCCACTCTCATCTCTTGCTCTCTCCATCTTTCCATCCTTCCATTTCCCATTTCTGTCCATCTCTCCCTCCCTCCCTCTCTCTCCATCACCCACTCTTCCTTTCATCCCCTACTTCCTATCCATCCATCCATCCATCCATCCATCCAATTCTATCTATCTATCTATCTATCTATCTATCTATCTATCTATCTATCTATCTATCTATCTTCTCTATCTTCTCTCTCTCTCTCCCCAGTATATGTCTGTCTGTCTATCTATCCTTTCACTCTTCTATCTCTATCTTCTCTCTCTCTACAGTATCTGTCTTATCTATCTGTCTATCTGTCTGTCTATCTATATCTATCTATCTATCTATCTATCTATCTATCTATCTATCTATCTATCTATCTATCATCTAATCTATCCTCTCTATCTTCTCTCTCTCTCCAGTGTCTGTCTGTCTGTCTGTCTGTCTGTCTGTCTGTCTGTCTGTCTGTCTATCTATCTATCTATCTATCTATCTATCTATCTATCTATCTATCTATCTATTATCTATCTATCTATCATCTCTATCTTCTCTCTTTATCTACAGTATCTATCTATCTATATCTATCTATCTATCTATCTATCTATCTATCTATCTATCTATCTATCATCTCTATCTTCTCTCTTTATCTACAGTATCTATCTATCTATATCTATCTATCTATCTGTCTATCTATCTATCTATCTATCTATCTATCTATCTATCATCTAATCTATCCTCTCTATCTTCTCTCTCTCTCCAGTGTCTGTCTGTCTGTCTGTCTGTCTGTCTGTCTGTCTGTCTGTCTGTCTGTCTGTCTGTCTGTCTGTCTATCTATCTATCTATCTATCTATCTATCTATCTATCTATCTATCTATCTATCATCTCTATCTTCTCTCTTTATCTACAGTATCTATCTATCTATATCTATCTATCTATCTATCTATCTATCTATCTATCTATCTATCTATCTATCTATCCTCTCTCTCCCCAGTGTCTGTCTGTCTGTCTGTCTGTCTGTCTGTCTATCTATCTATCTATCTATCTATCTATCTATCTATCTATCTTCTCTCTCTCTCTCATCCGTCTAATCTCTCTGTCTCTGTCTGTCCATCAATATTCAGATCTCTCTCTCTTAATCAATCGATCATCTATCTTCATCCAACTTCCTACTCAGCTTTCTCTCCTGCTCTCTCAGGCCTTCTCTCCATTTTTCTCCTACCTCTCTCCTATCATTTCTGCCTTCCTACCTTTTCAGACCTTCTCTCTCCCCTCGAACTACAGATCATCCCTTGAATCCCACCACTGTTCTCTCTGTCCCATTTGTCTCGTCTCCGTTGGTCTCCCTGGACCCCCGCGGCCGTGTCCTTTCATCCTTGCCTCTTTTGTTTGTTTTCAGGATCATGAACATGCCACATTTGATGACATTCTGGGTACGTCAACTTTGGGTCACAAATCAAATGAAGTTATGGTAGGAACGTTGTGTTATACGTGTGTCTGGTATCTTGGCCAAAGATCCTGCTGGCCAGTGTTATAGGGTAGAAATCTGGATATATGGAAAGGGAGATTCTAGTTAGTAGATCCTTCAGGATGCAGGAAGTCCAATGTTCACTCCAACAGATAAAGAGGTGCCCTATACTTTTTGCACTCTTAAAGTTGAGGGAACCTCTGTCCCTCCTTCATTTTTCCTCCCCCGAAGGGTTTCCTTCAACCTCCCCCAAGGTGAGCAAACCTTTAGTAGCCAGGAAGAGCAAGATGAGCTCATGATGAGATCAGCAAACCTTTAGTAGTCAGGAGGATGAGCTAACGTTTAGTAACCTCCTTCAACCTCCCCTAAGGTGAGCAAACCTTTAGTACCCAGGAGGAGCAAGATGAGCTAATGTTTAGTAACCTCCTTCAACCTCCCCCTAAGATGAGCAAACCTTTAGCAGCCAGGAGAATGAGCTAACGTTTAGTAACCTCCTTCAACCTCCCCTAAGATGAGCAAACCTTTAGCAGCCAGGAGGATGAGCTAACCTTTAGTAACCTCCTTCAACCTCCCCCAATGTGGGCAAACCTTTAGTAGACAGGAGGAGCAAGATGAGCTAACCTTTAGTAACCTCCTTCAACCTCCCCTAAGATGAGCAAACCTTTAGTACCCAGGAGGAGCAAGATGAGCTAACCTTTAGTAACCTCCTTCAACCTCCCCTTAAGATGAGCAAACCTTTAGTAGCCAGGAGGGTGCCTGGTGCAGAAAATAAGTAGATTGGGTACCTCCACTTTCCAACTTCTCCCAAAACTGATGGAGTTGATGGATGGAGCACGGCTGACGGGGGGAATTCTGGGAGTTGAAGTCTGAGTATCTTAAGAGTTGCCACGGTTGGGAAACATAGCTTGAGAGAGAAGATTCCACAGGGCCTTTTCCCTGCTCCTGGGTCTCCAAATAACGATAACACTCATCCTCTCGGTGGGGCTGGCCAGAATTGGAGGCTATCTTCTCAACCTTTCTCCTGATCTTCTGCAAGTGTGAAAACACGGCCATAATAAATCCCTATTTCAATGGCCGTTCGACCTTCGAATGGCCACTAAACAAACTCGTTGTAAGACGAGGACTACTTGTCTATCCCTTGTTGTGCCCCTTTGCCCCTCAAGCCACCCTCTCCTCCTCGCTTCAGCGTCCCGTCTGATCATCCTTCATTCCTTCCTTTTGTCTGCAGAGGAAATTGAAAAAAAACTGAACATCTACCGGAAGGGCTGCAAAATTTGGAAAATGATGATTTTTTGCCAGGTGAGTTGAGGGCGTCCTGAACCTCCCAAGTGTCCACTGCCACATTCCCGAGCTCTGGCAAGGGTTGACTTCGAAAAACCCACCTTCCCCGAGGGACTGTGGATTGACAGCGACCGACGGTTCTCATTCAAGGAATCTACTTCCAACACAATTGTATCGCACCCTCTCCCCAAAATGTGTGTGATCTCCTTGGCAACCGCCGGCCCCCGAATCCCAGCTTTACAGATTAACAGAGTTGGAAAGGATCTTGTAGGTCATCTAATCCAACTCCCAAGAGACCCTACACCAATTCTGACAGATGGCAGTCCAGTCTCTTCTTGGAAGCCTCCAGAGATGAAGCTCCCACAACTTCCGAAAGCAACTTCTGCTCCATGGGTTGATTGTTCTCACTGTCAGGAAATTCCTCCTTATTTCCAGGTTGAATCTCTCCTTGGTCAGTTTCCATCCATTGTTCCTTGTCTGGCCTTCGGGTGCCTTGGAAAATAGCTTCCTCCTCTCTATGGGAACCCCTCAAATATTGGAAAATGGCTATCATGTCTCCCCTAGTCCTCATCCTCCCCTGGGGATTTTGCAGTATCCTTCCCCTGCCATGCCCACCAAGCCATGCCCACAGAACCAGTAGTAAAAAAAATTTGGATTTCACCACTGGCGTGTCCTATCCCGAATCAATGTCTCTCTAGATATTCCTGAAGCTCTTCTCTTCACCCTGGCAATTTGAGAAGAACTGTTGATGTTCTCCAGGCTGATTCTGGAAGACCTTCTCTCTTTTCTTCTTGTAGGGAGGTCCGGGCCATTTATACCTCTTGAAGAATAAAGTCGCCACTTTTGCCAAAGTGGAGAAGGAGGAAGACATGATCTAGTGAGTGGAGAACCTCGTGAGGGATTTGAAGTTGGAGATCTTTGGGGAAAATGCTACCATCTCTCTCAAACGTTCTTCCATCTCGTTCTGCAGCTTCTGGAAGCGGTTGGGCCATCTGATGAGCAAGCTGAACCCAGTTCCAAATCTCATCCACATCATGGGATGTTACGTCTTGGGGAACCACAATGGTGAGAAGGTAAGTCCTGTGAGTAGTTTGTGAGTGGGTAGAAGAAAACCTTGAGAGGGAATGACCCCTCTTCCTGAAAACCTCTTTTGTGGCTATGTTAACAGAATAACCGAGTTGGAAGGGATCTTGGAGGTCTTCTAGTCCTTTGTAGAATAGGTTGACCCCTCCCCCTCTTCTTTGTGGCAGCCCCTCAAATATTGCAACAGTGCTATCCAGTCACCCCTAGTCCTATGGTTGCAGAAATTGGGTCTGTCTTGTTTAATGGAAGTTAAGTGGAGTAGGTTCATACTCAACAGGTTTAAGAGTTTATGGTTAAGTTGCCCCAATAATGATGTTGCAATTAACTGCCAAACCCTGTAGTCTTCTATAGCAGGGGTCTCCAACCTTGTTGTGGCCCATCAGCGGCCTGTGCAGCTAGTAGCTGATTCAGACAGTGAGGAGGCTGGTGTGGTGCTGCGCCAGCAGCCTGTGCAGCTGGCACTCGAGTCAGACAGTGAGGAGGCTGGAGAAGATGTGGTGCCAGAGGCGGGGATTCAGCCAGGGCCTTCAGAGTCTCCAGAAGCTCCCATAAGTGAAGAGGAAGAAGAGGAGGAGCCTCTTCTCGATGCACGGGCGCGCAGAGCTGCCAAAAGGCAGGAGTGGCTCCTCAGGAGGAGGTCTCCTCGAGAGTAAGTCTTGGGGCTAATTGGCCACTCCCTTAGCCTACTTAAGAAGGAACGCCAACTGAAGCAATTTGCAGGGAACAACTTCGTTCACTCTCCTTCGCGTCTTGATCTTAGTTCTCTGCAAATTGCTTCTGGGCTTTCTGCCAACCATAGTAAGATGACGATGATTTATTCTTTGGATTCTTGTAGGCTGTTAAGAAAGTTAATTAACAGCCTTTGTTTGAAAAAGACTGATTTAATTTAATAAACGAAGGTTTGTACAGATTTTGTGTGTGCTGCGTTCTTTGCTGGCTGAGGGACTCTGGGAGTTGAAGTCCACAAGTCTTAAAGTTGCCAAGGTTGGAGACCCCTGTTCTGTAGGATGTGGAAAAAGGGAACCAATCGTTTGTCGCACATCTAAGGAGGCATTTCAAATCACCTTGGACTTCTTTGCTTTCCAGCTGTTCCAAAACCTAAAGAATCTTATGAGCCCTTGTTGTGTGACTTTTGAATCGCCTCTTGAACTTTCAGCTCAAGGTAAATGCGACAACTAATCCACCTTTCCTAAGCCCTTGAAAATACACCACTGTTGATTGGCACAGGTAGAATAAGCACAGGTAGCCCTCAATTTATAAGCCCCATCAAAACCAGAATTTTTATTGCTAAGCAAGGTGGGCTTGCTTAGGGTTGGTAAGGAAATCACACCTGATTTACAGCCTTTTTGGGGTTTTTGCCACCGTCGTTAAGCGAATCGGGCTCCACACGTTGACTTTGCTCGTCGAAAGCCAGTTGAAAAGGTTGCAAATGGCAATCACGTAAGCCCATGACGTTGCCATCATCATCAACACAGGCTGCTTGCCAAGGATCAAATTTTGATCCCATGATAGATAGATAGATAGATAGATAGATAGATAGATAGATAGATAGATATATGATAGACAGACAGACAGACAGATACATAGGAACAGAATAACAGAGTTAGAAGGGACTTTGGAGGATGGATAGATAGATAGATAGATAGATAGATAGATAGATAGATAGATGTAAGTAGGTAGGTAGGTAGATAAATAGATGGATGATATAGAGATGATGGATGGATGGATGGATGGATGAGTAGATAGGTAGGTAGGTAAGTAGATAGATAGATAGATAGATAGATAATGATAGAGATAGAGATAGAGATAGAGATGGTGGATGGATGGATAGATGGTAGGTGGGTGGGTAGGTAGGTAGGTAGGTAGGTAGGTAGGTAGGTAGGTAGGTAGATGGATGGATGGATGGATGGATGGATGGGAGACAGACATTCAGGGATCTTCAGGTGGCCCATCCCAGGAAGACAATGCTGGTGTCTTCTTCTAACAAGGTTCTAGGTCTAAATTCCAGACCTCTGACTTGACTTCCCCTACTTTCCCCTTGCAGGAAAGGAAATGATTGAGACTTATTTTGACTTCCGTCTCTACCGAGTCTGGAAAACCCGCCAGCATTCCAAGCTGCTCGATTACGACGACATTTTATGAGCGCCGTCAGGACGGGGCCAGGAGGAATTTCCACGGGTATCCCGAGCAGGCGGGCGTCGCAGAGCGGGAGATCTTTTTCAACGGTTGCGAGGAGGCCCAGAGAAGGCGCCAAAGAAGCCCTTAACGGCCTTCAAGAAGTCCGCCCGGCAACTCGAGGCACAAGATGGATGGAGCACTGCGGACGAGGGGGGCAGGTCTTCAGGGACCCGAGATGGTTTTTAGACGGCAAGACGCCCAACGCCATGACAGGTTCTTCTCAGAAGACATTTGAAGCTCAGGTTTCCTACAGAGACTCAACCAATCATCTTGTTTATCTCTACTTCGCTGTCATGAAGGGCCGAGGCCTTCTCGCTTGGAGAGGATCGATCAAATCCTTGAGTTTGAAGAAAGCCAGGCCTTTAAAAAAAAAAAAATCTCATCCATTTTAAGAACACGTGTGAATTCTCTCACACGCACACACTTGTACACCCATACACATCTACAGAAGTGCAATTTTCTTTCTTTCTTTCTTTTTCTTACAAAAAAAAAAGAGGAAATATTTAATCAGCTGTTGCCGTACCACGCACACCGATATCTGGTAGATGAGATATTTTTTTTTGAGTCTGCTTGAGAATATATTTGACATCGTAACATATCTTGAGATATATATATCTATATATATATATATCTGTCTCTCCATATCTATATTTATATCTATGGGTCGCTAGAGATAACCACCATCCAGAGATTCTTTCTGCTGCATCGAGCTGCAAATCTGCAAAATCCTTGACTTGGGATTCCAGCAAAATTCTCGAGCGACACTTCAACTGTAGAAAGTCCCTTCAGGACAAACCTCGTTTTTTATTTTTTATTTTTTTTTCCAATTTAAGGAGCAGCTTCCTTAATAGAGTTTGGCAAAAAGCAGAGTTTTGCCAGCTGTTATCTGCTGATAGGGCTGGGGTGTGGGACCTCGGCTAGTTTATATATATAGATATATAAATAGATATAAATATAAATCGTTTGCAGATTAGAAACCAATAGCCATGTTTAAAAGATTTTGCTCACTGCAGTTCATTTTTGGGGGGGTCGGTTAGTTTTTTTGGGCTGTCGTGATGAGCTGGTGTAGCAGGTTTGATTTCAGAGGATGGACAATGATAGACTAACTCAGTTTTCTGTAGCATTGAATCTTTCAAAGCCCAGGGATCTACTCTGCTTTGTCCCAGAGGGAAAAAAAAACCTGGGCCAACACTTCATCCTAGTTTTTCTTCGTTCTGTGTGAGTGACCATACATTTAAATAATCCAGATTTCGCTTCGGGAAGAAATGTTTGGGAATGGCTGAGAAAGGAATGATTTGGCTTTATTACATGGGACAGAGCAGGAGTTTGGGGGGGGGGCGTTTGAGGAGTTAAGAAATGGGGTGGAGAGGTGGTGATTTTCTCCTCTCACCCCAGAGTTGTATTTTGGGGTCTCCAGCAGGGATTAATTGCTGAATCGTCTCCATTCGTCTGGAGCTCCGAAGAAAAGGAATGCCAAGAGTATTTACTAAATTATCTTTTTGGCTCGTTGAACGAAAGCATTCATTGAAGATGCTCTTTTTTTTAAAGAGATAACTGGACTTGGTTTCTTTTCTTTCTTTCTTTCTTTCTTGAAGACGTTTCGCTTCTTCATCCGAGAAGCTTCTTCAGTTCTGACCGAAGAAGTCGCAACCGGAGAAGCTTCTCAGATGATGAAGAAGGGAAACGTCTTCAAACTCCAGTTGCCTCTTGGAAAAGCATCTCCTGAGGACTGAGGGTCTCCATAGGCAAAGCATTCAACGCTATTTCCCCCCTCTGTTTATCCTGTTTTGGTGGCTGGCATTGAGATCTACATCACCATTCTCCAACAACAGTTAAAAAGCGATTTAATTAGACAGCACAGGTGACGTTGCAAGAGAACAGGGTTAAAATTCAACCCCAGCCTTCCCCCCCCTTCCTTTTAAATTCTGAGTTTTCCGGTTTTTAATTCGGAAAGACGTGCCCCAGATGCAGAGAAACGAGCAATAATTCCTCATTCCTGATGGATCGATCTAAATATGGAATTGGTGCCACCCGGAAATAAAATGAACGAGGCAACCTTTTAACAGAACCAACTGTTTCTCCGTCGGACAATTTAACAATTATTCCTTGCTCTCGCTTCCTTGGTTTTTGCTAATTGTGAAATCAGGAGAGGGAAAAAATGCGTACAATGTGATTTCTTGACCTTCTTTTTGTGTTACGGGGTTGTGTTTTGTTTGTCCACAGGTGTGCCTCTCTCTTTGTGTGCCTATCACACTTTTTTTCCCCCCCTATGGTTCAAAACCGCCGCAGCAATTTATCCGTGACGTATCACGTCCTACCTTCTTTTTATTTATTTATATTTTTTGTTTTGCACGCTGCGGTTTTTTTATTATGTACACACCTGCTCCATATAGACCGTGTTTCCCCGAAAATAAGACCGGGTTTTAGATTAATTTTTGCTCCAAAAGACGTATTAGGGCTTATTTTCTGGTTAGGCCTTATTGGAGGAAATATGGCATTAAATGCGTCCGTTCGGCTGACGATCATAACTGGGGCTTATTTTTGGGGTAGGGCTTATATTACGAGCATCCTGAAAAATCGTGCTAGGGTTTATTTTCCAGGTAGGTCTTATTTTTGGGGAAATACGCTATGTATACACCTGCTCCAATGGGCAGTATGATGGACCTTTGGGCCAAGCTATGATTTTGGTAGATTAGTCAGCCAATATGCAGGATGGCAGTCCGATCTACGTATCTAGGGCAGAATAAACCAAAGTCCCATCCTTAACGCGTGTCCGAAATCATCACAGCAGCTCACCCAAAAGATCTGTTGATGCAGCCATTCCTTACATTCTGTGAGGATGTCTCCCCTAAACTGCTCTTGAAAAAAGGAGGCTCCATTCCGGGCACCAAAGTCTATCCATTTCAGGGAGTCCTCGGCGTACGACCGCAATTGAAGCTAAAATGTCTGTGGCTAAGTGAGACAAGTTGTTAAGTGAATTTCTCCTTCTCCCCCCCATATTTTATGAGCTTCCTTGTCCTGGTCATTAATTGGATCACTCTGCAATGGTTCAGTTGGTAACCTGGTGGTTAAGTGAATCTGGCTTCCCCATGAACTCCGCTTGCCAAAAAGGTTGCAAAAGGGGAATGGCACGACCTTGGGACACTGTGACCGTCGTAAATAGGAACCAGTTACCAAGTGTTTGAATTTTGACAACCGCAAGTGTGAAAAATGGTTGCAAGACACTTGTTTTTCAGCGCTGCTGTAACTTTGGAGGGGGTCACTAAACGAGCTGTTGTAAGTCGAGGACTACCTACATTTTTCTCCATCCCAGCCTCTGACAATTCCACCTCTCTGACACTAAGTTTATCAATCTCTTACCCCCACCCCACCCCAGAATTATCGATATCCCCCCTGCTTTCCCCCCCCACAGGAACCATCAATCAATATCTCTTCCCCCCAGGCCCCAAGTCTATCAATATCTTCCCCACCCGGCCACCTTCTCCCCAAATTTTAAAATCTTATTATTTACAGAGCTTTTTTGCAACCTCTTCTGACATGGCGACACATCATCGATTCTCCCGGGAGCTTAAACCAGAGAAAAGAAATAAAACATAATTGCCACTTTTTTCCCCCCACCTTAAATCATCAGCCTTGAGAAAAGTAAAAAAAAAAAAGAATTGATTTTCTTCCCCCTTATTCCGCTTAGGAGCTGCTGCTAGCAAGATTTTCCTTACCTTTTGAGCCAAAAGTAATTCGGAGCCGCTGAGGCGTGTCTTTGCGGGTGGGGGGGTATGAGCCCCTCCGCGGAGATTTTTTTTTTTTTAATGTTCCTCTGTCTTCCCAAGGGGCATAAAAAGATTGAGAGGGAGAAAGTTTCTCTCCCTTAGATTCTCCTTTGCGGTCCTTTTCTGTCTCGGCCTCATCACTTTTGGTGGAAGTTTGGCAGGAACGAGTAATTCAGGATTTATATCAAATAATCGTTTACACCGGTGTGCACGTCTACCTCTCAAAAACATATTTTAATTCCCCCCCCCTTTTTTTTGTCCTCATTTGAAAGAGCAGAGTTTGGTCTACATGGCTTAAAAGAAGATAAAATCAAGGGCTGTCAGGGACCTTGGAGGTCTTCTAGTCCACCCCCCTGTTCAAGGCAGGAGATTTGTCCCCATCTCAGTCAAATGGCTTTCCATCCTGTTTTTGCATACCTCCGACAACCGAGCGCCCACAACAGCTATTCCATGTTGATTAATTATCCTCATTATCAGAAAAATTCTCCTTCGTTCCAGCTTCATTCAAAAATTCAAAATTTTCCCCTACTGGTTCTGTGGGCGTGGCTTGGTGGTGATGGGTCATGTGATTGGGTGGGCGTGGCCAACTTTAAAAAAAAACTTTTTAAAAGCATTTTTTTTACTACCGGTTTGGGAGAATAGGTAGTAAAAAATGCTTTAAAAAAGTTCTTTAAAACAAGCTTTTGTTGATCAGCTGTTACAATCAGTTGTGTTGCGCGATCACTGGAACCTTTTAAGAACTTTTTTAAAGCATTTTTTTTTTACTACCAGTTCAGGCGAACCGGTAGCATTTTTTACTAATGGTTCAGGCGAACCGGCCGAACCATTAGTTCGGCCGGTTCGAACTAGGGGTGGTGGTGGTTTAGAGACACTGGAAAAAAATTGAGAGCGTAGCTGATTTATGCAAAGGGTGTGGTATCCTCCTTTGATCCCTTCTGTCTAACGTCGGCTAACCACCCGGATGTGAAACTAATCAGTCAACGGAAAAAAGATGTGATCCGTTCATTGTTTTGTGTCTGGGCAGAATATATATTTTTATTTCCTTAGTTCCAAGGCCATTAACTGTGTGGGCTGAGGAAAAGCTACAACAGAACGGTTTCTCTCTTTTTAAGTCTTTCCCTCTGCCTGATGAGTAAAACCTTTCTGGTATGTTTGAATTGATCCTTAATTTTATTTTATTTATTTTTTTTAAAATTCAGGCATGGCCTGATGGTGAAATCTAAGGGCTTTTCTAGAAAGTAACTGTGTGTATGAGGTTTCCAACTTGATAAAAGGGAAACAAATCCTTCATATATGTCCGGAACAAGATTTTAGGAGCTCCTAAGTGTGCGACGGAAACAAAAGTCTATCCCGTGTGAATTAGAATCCCTTCTGGATAATCAAATCTTCGCTTACATTCTCTTATTTTCAGCTAGAGAAAGCTACGGGAGCGGGCAGGGGTGTTTTCAAATGTGTCGTCTTCTAGGTAGGGTTGTTTAAGGGCATGCTTTATCTCCTGGTGCGTGACGACATCATCAACATGTTGTCCAGAGTCTGACAGCCCAGAAGACTTACTCCTGAGCAGAGATGTATTTGGGTCTCTTCACCCCAGCACCATCTTCCAAGTGGTAGCACCTAGCCAAACATGTTTGATCTCAGCTCTTGGTCCTACTTGGATGAGAAGTTTCAAGGTTGTAGGTCAAGGAAGTGAGGACACCTCTTCCCAGCGGGTCCCAAGAACCCCCGTAAACCTGGTTGCTCCGTTAAAGCTATGGTGTGAACTTGGCGCAACCACCAAACTCCTGTGGAGTTCACCAACTCCATGAGCAAAAGTCAGGTGCCTCTTCTGATTTCCAGGGAGAACTTCAGCTACTCGGTCCAGCCTCTTCCATGGCATGGACGGTCAGGTTTTTTTTAAATCTGACATAGTTGCCTTTAGAAGCAACCCACTAGCTGAGGTGGGAATGAAGCCACCGTTCTCCACTTCTGGTCCTGAGCAAAGATCTTCTAGTAAAAAAGCTTCTTCAACTCAGTTAGACCACTGGCTTCTCTTGGTGCAGAAACTCATGAGCTCCGTAAGAAATCCTGGGCTGTCAGAGTTCAGCAGGCCAAGCTAGGAGGGCAGAGTCAAACATGTCATCAGCTGAGAGTCGTTAACATTTCAACAAGCAGTCCAACCCCTCTTGAATTCCGTTGAGCCTCATCTGGCGCCAATTTAGCGTTGAACTTCGCTTGACTAGATTCTTGTGTGTAGGCTTGCATAAATCTTCTATGCTACAACCTAACGGAGGATTCTTGATTCTTGGGTTTCTGACATGAATCCAGTCAAGCACTAAATTGGTGCTAGATGAACATAATGACTCTAAACTGCTGACACACTTAACTCCCTCTCCCTAGTTCGGCTTCCCTAGTTCTCCCGCAAGGAAAGGTGATCGTCATGTTATTAGAGACCAGGGATTCAAAAGGCAGCCTTGATACATCAGGATTGCAGTCCTTCCTTGCACTATTACTTTGCAACGTACAATTGCGGGATAAATTAATGCACTAAATGTATGGTTTCATCTGGAATTGGCAGGCGCCATCTGGCTCTTAACGCTGGTGGGAGAGACCCCTTGCTAAATCCCACCCATCCAGACCCTTGCTGTACGTTGAGTGTTGAACCTTCCAACGGTGTGTAGGGTCACTCTATTATGTGTAAACCACGGAGGATAGGAAGAGGCGAGATGTACACCAAAGCTTCTCGCGGCGGACTGCTAATATTGCGATCTTGTATGAAGAAGGCATCACAGGAGCTTACGAATCCTAGTCTATAGCAATAAACATTGGGGAATTTATGAAGTCAATGATCTGTTTCTCCATAGTCATTTGGTCCCCGAGGGCCAAGTTCGTTTTGTAACAAGAGTTTGGTGTCTTGATTCTGAGGCAGCCCTTTCTGAGATACGGACTACATATAGACCGGGCACCATTATAATGTGCGGTTTGGGCATAAATTTGAAGTCAGGGCATAGAAACAAGGTTAACTTTGGCACCCTAATCTGTTTTACCCTTTCAATAAAACGGTAGAAGGTTGAATTCGATTGCTGTCATCTTAGCATTTTATCCATATGGATAATGGAGTAAGCCCCAGGACTTACTCCATTATAGGTAAATAAAGTTCAATAAAGTAACATTTTCCCAGTCTACCTAGAGGTGTTAGGACCCATGATTCCCAGCCCAAAGGAATGAATCTGGGATTTGTAGTCACAATCCACCAAGATGGTGCCAGGTGGAGAAGGCTGATGTGTGTATATATATATATGTCTGGATAATCCAGATGTCTGGATAATGGAAAGGCTGGATTAACTCCGTATGATCAGGGTTGAATCACAATGAAGGACATGGGTTCAAGGAATACATTGGGGTGGAAAACAGGCATTTCCTAGCCATGGTTGGGTTAATAATGCCCTAAGAGGACTATCCTTTCCCCTTCCAGAGAATACATGTGTGGTGGTAATGAACAGGGTGCTTGTATGTTCACAGAAAAACCTAGGTTTGAATCCTCACACAGCCATGAAAATCACGGGGTGACCTTCGGTTAGTCACTCTCCCTCAGCCTACCTACCTACCTACCTATCTACCTACCTCACAGGGTTGTTGTGAGGATGAAAGGGCGCAGAGTAGGGAAAGAGCCGCGAGTTCTTTGCCTTCGGGACGGAAGGAGAAGAACTAAACTGTCATTTGATTTGGAGAAATAAAAGACTGTACAGATTTATTATTATTTTTTTTAAAAAAAGAAAGACTTTCTCGAGAAATTTGAGAAGTTTTTGGAACGGCATGGACCGGGGTCTCGGATAACCACACCCTGGCATGTTCTGAAGACACCTGTGGTGGGAAACGTGTCCCAGCAACGATGGACATGCAAAGGAACCAACTCTCGCATGTCCCGGAAACTCCACCTGGTTGAAAAAACGCCATTTAGGCTTCCGAAGAGACCAGCTGCCCGCTGGAGAAGAGGCTCGCCTCTTCCCCGGTCCAAACCCAGCTATAGGTGTGATTCCCCCACTCAATCCTCTTCTTCAAAGAGCCACCACTGACCTTGGATACGGCAGGAAGTCTACGAACTGAAGAAATATTTTGCTGAATAACAACCAAGGGGCCACCGGATCCGTGCGTCGCGTCTCGTGACTTCTCGTAGGTCTTGTTCTAAGGAGCCCTCTCGATGTCTCCATCCTTGGTGAGGTCCAGCATCATAGTTCTTAAACTTGCTCAACCTTCTTCCTTTAGTGTCCTTAATGAAGAGTGACCTCTCTCTCTCTCTCACACACACACACACACTCTCTCTCTCTCTCTCGGGTTCGTGGCCAGGCAAACATTTTTGGGCCTGCCCTGTTCAAGCTAGGTTGCTTCTCTCTTAAGGTGGTTTCCTAAGAACCAAGTTGGAAGTTTCTAGCCTTTTAAGATGTGATTTAATAAAAAGAAATCTTGATGATGATGATAGCCTTGTCCTTTTTCTCTCTCTGAACTCCTTCCTTGTCTCCTATCTATCTGTCTATCTATCTGTCTATCTATCTATCTATCTATCTATCTATCTATCTATCTATCTATCTTCTGTCTGTCTGTCCGTCCGTCCATCCATCCATCCATCCATCCATCCATCCATCCATCTATCTATCTATCTATCTATCTATCTATCTATCTATCTATCTATCTATCTATTCCCCTGGAAGCTTTACCACATGGTGTTTTTATCTTCTCTCTGAATTCCTTCCTTATCTCCTATCCTGATATTTTCCACCCACTCACCCCCCGGAAACTTTACCATATGGTGTTTTTTCTCAGGGAATGTTAAGGATGGGCAAGTGGGACACCTAGAACGTGACATGAAATGTCTCCAAGGTAAATTTCCAAAAGGCAACTTTTCTTTTCTTTGAAAACGTTTCGCTTCTCATCCAAGAATTGAAGAACTGAATGTCAACTCCGGAGTCATCTTTAAGCTCCAGTTTAGGGGACTGGAGGCTAAAACATATGAAGAAGGGTTGCAGGAACTGGGTATGTCTAGTTTAATGAAAAGAAGGACTAGGGGAGACATGATAGCAGTCTTCCAATATCTCAGGGGTTGCCCCAAAGAAGAGGGAGTCAAACTATTCTTCAAAGCACCTGAGGGTAGAACAAGAAGCAATGGGTGGAAACTAATCAAGGACAGAAGCAATTTAGAACTAAGGAGAAATTTCCTGACAGTTAGAACAATTAATAAGTGGAACAACTTGCCTGCGGAAGTTGTGGATGCTCCAACACTGGAAGTTTTTAAGAAGATGTTGGATAACCATTTGTCTGAAGTGGTGTAGGGTTTCCTGCCTGGGCAGGGGGTTGGACTAGATGACCTCCAAAGTCCCTTCCAACTCTGTTATTCTATTCTATTCTAAAAGTGCTTTGATTTCTCTAAACACCATGTCCCATATTTTTTGTGCACTATCACAATCCCACCACATGTGTTTATATGTTCCGACCTTTCTTGCACCTCCAACATACAGTATATTTATATTGTTAAGCAAGACATTTGTTAAGTGAGTTTGGGCTCCTTTTACGACCTTTCTTGTCACTATTGTTAAGTGAACCACTGCAGTTGTTAAATCAATCGCAGGGTTGTGAAGCCAATCCGGGCTCCCTCGTCGTCAGAACGTCGCAAAAGGGGGGATCACATGATTACTGCAACCATCATAAATATGAACCATTTCCCCAAGTGTCTGAACATTGGCCCGTAACCAACCAGGGCTCTTGCGACGGTCATTAAGTGTGAAAACTGTTCTCCGTCCCCCTTTTTTTCCCAGTGCCGTCGTCACTTTCGAACGGTCACTCAGTGTCGCATTGTCAGCCGAGGGACTACCTGTACAAGATTCCGTTTCCTGAGAGAGTCAGGCATGCTTTCTGAAGCCACAACGAGGAAGCTTGCAAAAAAATAATAATAAAAAATACAAACGCAAGCAAGCGAACAGAGACTATCAGGGAAGGACACCAGCGGTTTCGTTCTCCAGCTTCTTTGGCTATCAGGAAGAATCAGACATGGCTTTCTTTTTAATTCCACCTCCACCCTCTTATCGGGCTATCAGGAAAAGTCAGACAGAAGTCATTTTCTTCTCCACCCTCTTATCGGGCGACTCTCGACACCTTTTATTTGAATTCACTGAAGCGACAGGAGTTCCCCGGGTGCCAAGTTTCAAAAAAAAAAAAAAAAGAATCCCGCAAACGCCGTTGGCAGGATGACGTGGCATAAAGGCAACCTGTCCGACGAAGCTGGAGTTTTGGAAAATGCCTTTTTGTGTGTGTGTGTGTGTGTGTGTGTGTCCCTACCAAGCCAACATTCCTTGCGTGCCACGTGCTCGGGGTGCCCGTGGGAACGGGTGAGATGGACGCTTCGAGATGGTTGTCCATCAAGGCAAGAAATAAAACGCATCCTGGAATTATTACACCCGCCCACCCACCCAGGGGAAGTTCAAAGGGTGCGTAATTTTTCCCCCCGCAGATGTTTCATTCCCCAGCTAGGGAACATCATCAGTGTTAGCGGGAGTGGGGTTTGCTTCTTGTTTGGGTGATTGGAGTGTGGTTTCCTCCCGCCCCCCACTTTGCAGTTGTTTGATTAGGGTGTTGTTTTCTCCTTGATGCTTTGCCTGGTGCAAATCCCCGCTTATCTAAACAGTAAGCAATTCCCACACTCACTAACGCTGATGATGTTACCTAGTTGGATAATGAAACGTCTGCCAGAAAACAACCAAGCTCAGAAAGCACTAAGGACCCCGCAGTCCTCCTCCTTCTCTTCTTCCTCCTCCTCTCCAGAAATTCCACTCCCTTCTAGCACTGATGATGCTATCTAGTTGGGTGAAGAAATGTTTGTAAGAAAAGCATCAAGCTCAGAGACTACCAGGAACCCCACAGTCATTGTCCTCCTTCTCGCCTTTTCTTCCTCCTCCTCCTCTCCTCCTCTTCCTCCTCCTCTTGCTCTTCTCTTTCTCCTCCATTCCACAAACCCCACTCCCTTCTAGCACTAATGATGTAACCTAGCTGGGTGAAGAAACGTCTGTAAAAAAAAAACCAACAATCTCAAGAGACCACCGACCCCACAAATATGAGAGATGCAGCACCTGCTTAACAGGTTCAGAACAGAACTTCCATTGATCCCCCCCCCATCTGCTTTGGGTAATCAAGCACACTCACAGTTCATTAACTTTTCTGGTTTATTCTCTTTCCTTGGCCAAATTCAACAGCTTAGGTTGAACGATTGAGGGGACCAATTATCTCTAGCCACAATGTCCTTCCTGTCAACGACTACTTCAGCTTCAACCACAACAATACACGAGCAAATAATAAGATACAAACTCAAGGTAAACCGCTCCAAACTCGATTGCAGAAAATACGACTTCAGTAACAGAGTGGTCAATGCCTGGAATGCATTACCTGACTCTGTGGTTTCATTCCCCAAACCCCCAAAACTTTAACCCTAAACTCTCTACTGTTGACCTCACCCCATTACTAAGAGGTCCGTAAGGAGCGTGCATAAGTACACCAGCGTGCCTACCGTCCCTGTCCTAATATTCCTTTTTACTTACTCTTTTCACGTCTTCAAATTATGTTTATACTTTTACCTGTTATCTTATATATGCTTGACAAATAAACGTATGATGATTATGATTTATCATCAAAGGCACCTCTGAGAATTGGATTAAATCGCCATCCAAACAGATTTTACCAGGAAAGGAATGATGTTTTCAAACCCTCAGACAGACTTTATCCTTTCCATCTAGATAATTCAGGTACCTGTCAGGTGAGAACATCCTTCCAAAGCTCCAAGAAAGGTTTGTAAGAACCGTCCCTAATTTTATTGTTTGACGAAGCAAGGAGCCTTGGTAGTACAGTGGACTAAAGCACACTGTTATTAACATCTGCTGCTTGCAATTACTGCAGGTTCGAATCTCACCAGGCTCAAAAACGGACACCAGGATGAGTTTCAGGATGAAATTCCATGTCTAAAAATGGTGTTGCTTCAACTTTTTAAAAATCAAGCCTTTTTGGTGCCAGGAGAAGAAAAGGCTTTACTCCACGGTCAGGAAAAATCCTGCCCAGGAACCAAAATAAGAGATTTAGAGATAAGGGCCCGCACAACATTATTTTATTTATTTATTTATTTATTAATTTAATTTGTATACCGCCCAGAAGGGACTCAGATTGGACAGTTGTTCCGAGACGTTCCAAGAGGGCCACAAAAGGGATCCCTCCACAACGATATTCTTGGCAACTGACAAAAGCACCCTTGCCTTTGATTTGCAATGTTACACTTCCACCTGATAATTTCACACAAATCAAGCAGCTCCCTGATTCAGAGCAAGACAAATGGTATGAGGCAATGCAGGTTGAAATGGACAGTCTAAAGAAACTTAAAGTATTTACACCTGCAAAACCTCCAGCAAACAAAAAGATCATTGGCACTCGATGGGTCTACAGAATCAAAAAGAAACCAAATGGTGAGTCATTATACAAAGCCAGACTTGTAGCTCAGGGTTTCGCTCAACGTTATCCTGAGGACTACACAAATACTTACTCACCGACAGTCAGAACTGAGAGTGTAAAAATTGCTTTAGCAACTGCAACTATCCTTGGTTTAGAAGTTTTCCAGTTTGATGTTGACACGGCTTATCTACATGCAGACCTAGACGAAGAGATCTACGTGAGAAGTCCTCCAGGATTCCGACAGCAAGAAGGGGATACCTGGTTCCTAAACAAAAGTCTCTATGGTCTGAAACAATCTGGTTTAATGTGGTACTTATGTCTTACTGACAAACTAAATTCAATGGGCTTTATTAAGTCCGAAACTGATGAGTGCGTGTTCACAAAAAGATCTAACAATGCATATGAGATAGTTCTTGTTTATGTTGATGATATTGTTTATATTGGTCCAAATAAGCAAATGAGTGAGATTTTTGCCAAAGCTTTGCAGAGATATTTCACATTGAAATCATTAATCATATTAGCACTTATTTAGGTGTTCAGATTAAAAAAACACAGAAGGGGTTTAGTCTTTCACAAGAAGATAAAGAAGATTTTATCTTCTTTCACAAGAAGATAAAATTGAACAAATTTTGCATCATTGCAACATGAAAGATGCTAACACAACAAAGACACCCATGCAAACAGATTTTCATAACTTGACACAAGAAGAAAGTCCTGAATTCGAGGATCAAACACTTTATCGTTCAGTCATTGGGTCACTGTTATACATTAGTAGTTGGACCAGACCCGACATTGCACTTAGTGTTAATCTCTTATCACGACACGTAGGTAAGGCAAAACAGTTTCATTGGACATGTATTAAGAAATTATTGAGATACCTAAAATACACTAAACACATGAAGTTATTGTTAGAACCAACACATACTGATTATGCAGAATTATGTTGTTATGCAGATTCTGATTGGGCAAGTGATAAGAAATCACGCAAAAGTA